CCGAAACATATCAACAAAGACGAACGGAAATTGAAGAGTGCAGACGAGGATTGGAATTCGGAGGATGAAGCCAAGTTGAGAACCAACGGTTTCTCACAAAATGAAACCAGATTTGAGGTGGGCAACGAAAATAAAATGCGGAAAAAACCCTCCGCTCTTATCGTAAAGTCAAAAGACGAAAAGAGGCAGGGCAACAAAGCAGACATCAACAACCTGCCCAGCCAGAACATGTTCGGGCCTCAAGGCTTTGAGTTTCGCAGAACTGGGTCTAACGCCTCGAAGGCAGAAGCGCCGACATTTGGTCTACAGTCGTCCGACTATACCAATGGCAGCATCGTCAACTGCCATGGTAACCGAGCGGAGATTCGGTCTTCCTCAGTAATTGGCGACTATGTGCCGGATATACATACAGCCCGATCCTCCCCCCATGACAGAGCTCCTACACGAGCCCCCTCGAGTCCCAACCCTCGTCAGCATCACCATGTCCAAGGCCATCGCATCCATCGGAGTCAGCAGAAAACGCAACACACTGTCCCAGTCCTCGATCAGAAGGCGCCTCCGAACTTGGATGGCCCGGACGTGGTCGGTGAAGCGCCGGTCTGGACCACGGGACTTTCCCACCCGTACGACTTGTACGATCAACAGTATCCAGCCGGCGTGGGCCTCGGAAGTTCGGTCGAGGAGAAATGTTTTTCTGTAGGTTAAATTACTGTAAAATCCATCAAAGATGAGACAACCTCTTTGATGGGTGTTTTTTTTATATTCTGAAACTCGGTTTCTCCCATCGTAAGACATTGGTACCCAGGCGGTGGTAGTACTATCTAACAAAACTGGCATTAATTCTCGCTAAAGATTTATTGTTTGGTGAGACTCCGCCCAATTAATAAGGAATGTACTCATAAGCGCCCGTCTGCGGAATTCCTTTTTCCTTATGTGGCTATTCCGTACACCTTCGGGGCCGACGCAATGCCTTCATAGGGTCTACATATTTTGTATGGTCACCATAATTTAAGTACCAGAGCCCCCAGCTTAGTGACGATAAACACCGAAAAGAATGATGTCAGAGAACATTGACTAGTTCACTTGTGCGACAAACTCACTTGAGCCAATTATGTGGCTGTTGCGTTATATATTTATTTACTTGCTGCAGGGCTTGTTATCTTTTAAAGCATTCGCTTTAAGGCAAGATATATTTTATACGTATTAGAGTAGGGTTTAGAGATATATTTTAGCCAAGATAATTTGAGTAGCTCGGATTTTCTTCGGCGTGCCCCTAATAGTCAGTTTAATGTATCTGATCTATCAGTTTTCTGGGATAAATTGCAAGTGTGATCTCTGGAATTATTAGCCTCCTACTCAATTTTGTTTGAGTAAGATGATCTAAGGGACGGCAATTATCATTTCCTACTGGCGGATGAAAAACAAGGGTTGGTGTTGGTAGAACGGACACAGCTAGCCGAACATTTTCTGCTTAGTTCCAAACGTTATGAGCTAGTTTGATATGAAATTTCAGACACATTTACAGAGGCGAACGGAAAATATGGACTACTGTAAAATACTAAACCTGGTACAAAATTAACAGAAAAAATCGCTATGGTCACAGGCTTCCAGATGGTAAAATCAAGCATTTCTGACCGAAAAGAGACAAAAACCTTTGAGATAAGATCTACATGTAATAGTCAATTATCTGGCAGGCCCTTTGCACTTTCGAGGAGCATCAGTGAGGCTGTCAGATCAT